AAGGTACGCGCACAGACAGAGCTTCTGGTCACATATGAGCAAACTTAAGCACATTCAAAGACACATCAGCACGTGGAATTTGTACCCAGAATAAGAAGGAATGCTTCATAAAACAATTCTCCAGACTTTGGGTCAGGTGTTTGGTGCCAGGTAGCTTTGGGAAGGCCATAGGGCCGATTAGCCTCATTAACCCCCGGCAGGCCGCCTATTGCTGTGTTTTGCATACAAGGGATTGAGCCGCGACCAGCCGCTCTGCCCAACCGCACCATCGGACCTTTGTACTTGCCATGATGGCGCGCAGTAATGCACAGAGCCTGAAAGAGCGCAGGACTCAACTCAGCAGAGCAGTGAAGGCATCTCTCAGCAAATGTAATCTCTCCCAAGGCCGAATGACCTAACCTGCAAATCCCCCTGGCTAATCACGATGCCATTTCGCGGTATTTGGACTTGTGTGTGCGGGGTTTTTTTCCTTGTTTATAGTAAGGTTACAATTTCACTCTCGTGATTAGGTGGTACAGCTGCCCTGCCTTGGCCCCGATCAACAGAATCATAATTCTTGGCCACTGAGCTTGCAAACGATTCGCCGCCCTCGTGAATCAATGAATTGTGGTTTGATTCAGCACCACTAGTTTCTGCAGGTGGTGATGTAAACAAAATATGTACGATAGTAATAATATATACTACATATATATTGATCAATCAGGCTATATTGTTGTACTGTACTGTGCTCCAACATCTGTATCCCTCCTTCACCAACCGGCCCTGCCTAGCATGGTAACATAACCCCCATGACCCGCATGGCGTGGGCCAGGCATCTTATCCAGCAGTGGATTGATCAAATAGGCTGTACGTGTATTCATGAACTGCAAATACATTGTTATCACAAGTTTGATCTAATGCACATCGTATTAAAGTAAGAAATGGTGTTTCATCACTTCGCTCAAGACCCAGCAAGATGAAATGTGCATCTAACGCTGTACGGCTGCCACCCACGGGAGGAGATACCAATGCCAACCTCTGCGCAGCCACATCACATATTGAGCCACCGTGTTCTACAGGAATTGACCATTTTAATTACGTGTTGCATCTGCATGCAACATGTCATCATAGTTGTCCAAGCATATAGTTCCTTGCATCACCAAGTTCCTACCAGCCATTCACAAGAAGGCCTTAAAGGAACAGCCATTTATCAAGGTTGCACTCTACTTAGCTCAGATTGAGTTAAAGTGACAGGGCTGGCTTACCTCTGCAGCCAACAGCGCTCTATACTGGGGCAATTGATGAAAGTTTATGAAATAAGATCCCATCACATAATTCAGACAGAGGCCTTTATTTAAACCAGGTGAGAGCCCATTTACAGTGACACAACTGCATTGAATCCCACACACGTTTTTCAACCATGCTTACAAATAATAAAACATACGCATCTGGCCAGCATGAAAGAGAAGGCCAAAAAGCATTTGAGAGGGGCCTTCTAGAGCTCCCAGAAGTGGGCACTGTTCTGCCAGCAGTGAAGGAGGCAAGAAATTGGAGGACTGCATATTTTTAAATCCTTTATATTAAGTTCACTTGCTTGCTTGCTTGCGTGCTTACGACCGTGCAAATCTTTCGGTCGTTTTTTAACCCACTTCCTGTGATCCAATCGAGCTGACATTTTGCACACAGACTCGTTGTGCTGTGACAATTTATTTTCGTGAAAAAAAATTCCGTAACTTTACACTTTTTAGGAAAAAAAAAATTATATTTAATTACCAATTGCTTAATGGTGGCAGGCAATCATCTGACCCATAGGTGGCAGCCATCTCAAGCCAGAGGACGAGAGGACTCTAGCCGCCACGCATATAAAGGATTTATAGTGAAAGACTTTGTTTTTACGGGTAAATTTTTTCGGTATCCTTTCATATAGTGCTGCTTAGAGCACAAATGATTAACCTTATAAAACAACCTCAAATTAACATGATTCAGACCATACAATAATTGGGTGAGCAATGACTTTAAAGTGTACAGGGTGGCTGTAAATCAACTTTATTGTCTGACACTTGTAAAAGACTGACCACGAAGACGTTTAGGCGCCCACATCTAGGAAAATTGAGCGAGCGCTTTTCCTGCATGCGGTTTGACGTGAGAAGTTTACCAAGGGTCCTTTCTCAAGCAACGGTGGGTTTGTTATTGTACCATGGAAAACAACCTGACCAGCCAACGTAAAGGTTAAATGTTGTATTTTTAGAATATCCGATCAGGCGGAACAATAGTTAAGAATACCTACGCCAAAAATGGAACCATACTGCCTGCCTGCACTGACGATGGTCTTGGTCGTTTCTTACATTTTCTGGTAAATAAACATCACATTGCTAAGCAATGTGGAATTTCTGTCGTCGTCCGCCTTCTTTCCTGCTTGACGAATACCTGGCCAATGCTAACCGTGCAACGGCTCCGAAAACGTTAACGCGCTCGGAAACAATGAATTGTGCTACCGCGAGTTCCTTTTGTTTTTTTTGGAACCAGTGGCAGAAAAGGGGAAGCCACGCCATGTGAAGGTCCGCATCGTGAGCCACCTGCCCCCGTCCGCAGAGGTTTTTCAGGGAAAAGCTGTGGTTTGGCAAAACACCGAGCCATTCCCCGAAGTCTAGCGAGTGCGCAATACCCGCCTGGGCCTGGAAGAGGACGCCAGCTCCGCCTACATGAAATCGTTTCCCCATTTCCCAGGCTTCTCCGCACTTTGGCGATGACCCGACAACTGTCCTGGCATTTGGAGCCTTGCCTCGGAAAGCTGGCTTCTGCCAGGCGTAACACTCAGACTGTGCGTGCGAGAGTTCCCGCCGACGCTCATTTATTGCCACGTCTGTTCGTGGATGCGGTAATTGTGCGCAAATGTGCTCCTGCGTCTCAGGGCATTACATAAGTAGCAGGCATCCAACCTCGCAGTGCTATGTGGCAGCAGGTGCTATTCTTCACAAGGAATAATTCAACTATTTTAATGAGCAGCGTATGCTCAATGAAAACCATAACTTCTTTTTAACGAGAAGGGACATTACATGCAACACAACCATTCATTTTAGGAACCCTCTGCGAGAAAGCATTTGACAACAAAGAGCTTTAAGGTAACAAAAAAGCACAAACACACAATGGACAAGAGGTAGCAGATAACCCACAACTGCAGTGGCAGAGGAAGATGCTGCTAAGGAACTAGGGTTTCCAAGAATTCCTTTCCCTGCTGACAATGACATGTCCGCACAGCAGCCATCCCCACAGCGTGACCAACCACATGGCCAAACAGAGGAGCACGTGTCACCACAATGCTTAATATACCACCCCATGTTCGTTTTATGTGCGCGCAGATGCAGACACGTCGATTATTTATTTAGTTTACTTTGCCCGACTGCTCAAGTGACTTAATTTATTTCTCGAAAATGTATGTGTGTTTTTTATTTGAAATCCTTTGTCAAACCACGGTTCAACAAAGGACTTCGCATACTGGGTGGGTCATGGAGGTTGTTCCATAATACTTCACCATACTGGTGAAGAAGGGGGGGGGGTAGGTGGGGGGGGGCGAGTAGGACCAGTTGAAATATTACTCGCCACTGATGTTAGCCATCGTCAGGAGTCAAACTCGGCTGACCAAGCTCATAACGCAGTGTGTGAACCACCGCTCCCCAACCCCTAAATTTAGCTGCCAGTTTCGTTCACATTACACATCTGGCTAAAATGTAAGCCACTACAGTAATTTTTTTTCTTAATTTCCTGGTGAGGTTGGGCAATATGACCAAAAACTTCTTGTAAATTTAGATTCGCTACTAAAAAAATACAATGGTCTATTCTTGCCAGCGTCATGGGATCCCTGGCATGTACAAGGAGACGCAGCAGGGGGCTTAACAACCCAACCAAACAGGACATAATTATAATTATATATAGTTTCAAATCTATATAGTTTCCTAAGCTTCCGAAGCTTAACTGCTCCTGTTAAATTATGTGTACATCCTGTGCAAAAAAATAACGATGCAAAATAATCATGTACAGTCTTTCTGTCGTTTCACTGCTGGTCTGCCACGGGGACTGTTTGACCATATTTCACCAAGCCGACCAGTGTGGGTTGGTGAAGGGGGAGGTGTCCAATACCGTAACAGATATCACTCGCCACCGATGTTAGCCGTGGCCGGGAATCACTCGGGTAGCTGGTTTCATTGCACAGTACGCTAACGGCTTTGCTTCACCATGTGTACCGACACTGATGTACTTTATGTTCTTGATCATGCTTTTGTTGGATATTCATGATGATGATGGCATTATGCTCAAAGACATGGGACAAATCAAACTATTATATAAAGGTGTGTGACATTTATAATAGCTGTTTAGTTTTGTTTGTATATTTGTTCTTTGTTTGAAAACAGCTACAATGTTCATCTTTTGATCACTGAGATATTCCTGTCATATGTACTGCACATCCCGTGTCTCTTTTTCATAGAACACTTTTGACCGAATAAAAATGAAGTTCACGAATGATGAAGATCCACTACACGACAGCAAATTCAAATGATCACGGTCCGTTGAAACACTATGAACAATGCCGTTTATTTATCCATAAAAGCTTCACTCAGTCTTAAGACTCTTTCAGGAGGTTCCTGCATTAGGATGTTTGGGCAAATCCATTACTATTGGCCTTCTTGGCCCAGGGCCACACTATAATGTTGTTCTCTCTCCCCTCTCCCATGATCCGCTTGCCCTTACACCCACCACCCCCTTCCCATTCACCTTCCTCCCCAACTTTGCCCCCCACTTCTGCAAAGCGTCTACAGACACCGCTGCATTTTAGATGTATGCCGAACTTCTTTCGCACTGAACAAAGCCAACCGTGATAAACGGACACGCAACATACTTTGAAATTGTTGCTACTTTATCACGAATGCCTACTTTATCACGAATGCCTCACAGACCCAGGGGCCTTGGCGACACAGAGGTTGGGTCCTCGATGCCCCGGTTCATGCGAGCAACTCTCAACTCACCCAGCGCGGAGAGGCCCTCGGAGACGGAGGTGAGGATGTAGAGCAGCACCGAGGGCTCCAGGCCGACCAGGAAATTCATGTGGTCCTGAGTGAGGCACTCCAGCAGCGGGGAGTAGTACGACTGGCTCAGCTTCGGGTAGTTCTGCGAAGTGGGGGGGGGGGGGGGTACACGTGACCGCTTTTCCGATTACTACTACCGGTTTCACTTGCGGGAGAATGAGAAAATCACTTTGTCTTGATCGGCGCTAATACGCGAGCGACGACCGCAAAGTTAATTGGGAGCGACTAATGCACCATGCTGTAAACAAGGTGATGTTGCTCTGCGCTCGCTCACCAATTCCTGGAGGTAAAATATTTATAATGAATATTTAATCAAACGGCGAGACCTGGTATATTTTGAATGTACATAACATCTCGAATAAAGGTGTATATCCAAACACTGGGGGAATTAGTAGATTAATGGGTTTGAGAGAGGTGAAAAAAACTAAAACAACACAAGACACTATGGGATAAATGGACAACACAATGCCGACACGATAGCTTTCAAAAGTGATCGAGAACGGGACGTTGTTCTTTGCAGTGGCCATTACCACTGTAGTGTTTATCATGTAACACAAATTGGAATGGAAATGTTGCTTGCATTCATTTGCTTGAATGAATGAGTCGTGAGCGCAAAGGCAATGATGAAGTGAGTTCAAGAGAGATGGCCTCACTCTTGCTAACGTTAAACATTATTTGTATTGCCAACACCTGGGGAAAGCCCATTCATTATACACCACACGTAAACATAGTGCTCTAAGTAATGCTAATAATTACACACGAACCGGCACGGGAAAATAAACACGCACTCCAAGAGAAACGCGATACAAGCATTAGGCTCGCATCCAAATACAGTACATAATTAAAGGATTTAATTATTCTCCGGTTAACATAATGCACGCAAACAGTTTGGACTTACAAATTTAAAATGAAATTATCGGACAAAAGTGATCCTTCAGTTACATGACAAATAATGGAGAACTTTTAAAATGACAAGAAGCAGGCTACATGGGCAGGAGATGGCAAAAGAGTTATAAGAATGGGCAAAACACGCAAGTATGTATATTGAACTTCTTTCGCATCCTATGTAGCCAACTGCGCAAATCGGAGGTGCAGGGGAAGGACAACAAACTAAACACACACAAAAAACGCAACCAAGGGAGAGCAAAGCTGCAGAAGATGGAGCAGATGCAATTAAATCAAGGCTCATCTTCATGCATATGGTATATGAAAAGCAAGGGCGCAAGTTGAAAACTGCGTTGAGTTTGGGGAGGCCATTTTGTGGCATCTGGGATTGTCAGGCGGATGCCATTAATACCTCCTGCACTCGCGTGCAGTGTGCAATGGTCGGTGGGTGACGTGACGGACCGCACTTCACCGCAGTCGCAATCAGGCATCTCCTTTACTGCCCCACTTTACGGAGGAGGTAGCCGCACCTCGTACATGTTGATCAAGGCTCACATTGGCAGAGGACGGGTTGCAACGGGAAACACGTTGCACAAGCAAGGGGGAGGCCCTCAAGAAAACAGCGGTGAGTTTCTCGAATGCTCGACGACGAATCGCAAAAGGCGGTGGAAGCAACCCAGAGCAGAGCGTCGTCTGGACGTCGTGTGACCCAGCCACAGGACATCTCTGTGTACACACGCGGCGGGCCGGGTGGACGCCCCCATTGTGCGCCAGCATTCGGGAGGAAGGGCAGCGAGCCTCCCTCGGTGGGCTCGTCGCGTCGGCAGAGGAAGCCGCCGGCATTTTCGACGCGATTTTTGGCAAGGGAGGAGGGGGGGTCGGTGGTGGCCGAAGGCAGTCGGGGGTGGAGTAGTATAGTGGGAATGAGGATGGGCACGGGGGACCTGAGGGGCTAAACGCACAGGATGTGTACGGGCAAAGGTGCTGCACCCTCGGAAAACGCAGCGATGCAACGACGTGGGAGGGTCCTGGCTACGCGCCGCGCACTTAGAACCCAAGGTGTCCTACATTTAAGTAGGACACTTGTAAAAATGTAGTATATATTCCGCGTCGGTTTTTTTTATTAAACGCGGTTTTCGAGGTTGTGCTGAGCAGCCCTCTGATGCAACAATATGCGGTATGAACACTACTCAACATTGTAACTTCTTTTCGAGCAATGGTTTAGGTTTTGCTCTCCCTTCGTTTGAGTGAAATGGGTGAATCTTTAGGAAAATGTTTAATGCATTACCATGTTATTCTTATGTTAGCCTATGAAAGAACAAGACAAACTACATTCATAAGGCATGCATTCGTGATTTTCGTGAAAACGTGAATGTATTGATGTGGCTATTGATGCACAAATTGACATCTTAATGTCTTCCATGGACATATGTGCATGATGATTACATTAGTTTTTCTATCTAATCAGGATGCTATGATTCACCCCATACAGATGTTATGAATTATCAAGATTCATTGTCACAATTTAAAGATCGATTATTTTTGTCTCATTTTCACCATTTCATTGTTTGTTCCATCTCATTTGGACAGTTTTGTTCTCGATATTACCCTAAAATAAGTAAGTGGCATATCAATTGCACATCGTTTACCGAAATCGTAAACAATCTCCTCTCCCATTTATGATGCAACGCTTGTACCGCGAGCACGCGACTCCACTTTAATCAACGAATCGATGCCTTTAGTGATAAGATCTAACAAGGACGCAACAATTCACCGCCTGGGGAATCTGACAAATGAGCAAGAACTCATCATCAAAACTCAATTCACGCCCAATGTCTGACGGAAAAAAAACCCCGAGGCCAATTTGAATTTCACTTTAGATTTTTCTTCTCTTGTTTACATTTCTCAATAACTGCACCCACACCACCCCCCTCAAACACACACGCAAAAAAAACTGACGGCGCCGGTTTCTGTGGACCGGCATGGCGCCCCCCCCTTGGGCGAGACGGGAGGCCGGCCGTACGAACGGAGGGACGCCTCCACTCACCAGCAGGTCTGCGTGCGGGATGGTGAGGAGAAGCTTGACGGCCGTCTGCAGGGCGTTGTCCAGGGCGCTGTCGCCGTACAGGCGGAAGACGCCGAAGTTGACATAGTTGCCGCACAGCGCCGCTTTCAGGATCGAGAAGCAGATGGAGATCCCCTTGAGCTTGAGCGGGTAGAGCTGGTCCTTGGGAATCTCGCCCAGAGACAGAATCAGGTTCCCTGCAGGTTGGATAAGGATATGGAAAGAGACAGAGAGAGAGAAAGAGTTGTTGGGCAGCGTGGGGAAAAGTGGTGCACCCCGCACGTCACCGTGGTCATGTTGGGACTATTTGATCAACTGTTGAGGGAGGCACGAGTGTGCACTGGGACAGAAAATGTAAATACTTTATATGAAAACAGTTTATCGCAAGGACACATTAATTAATTCTAGATTTGAAGCTTTCGTGACTGCAAATGTCAACAATTACATGTTTTAAAAAGCAAGTGGTATACACGGCAATGTCTCATATCCGTGTTTCCAGTATCCGTGGCCCCGAAGCAATCCACAAAGATACTGTAATGTGTTTTTGGAAATACGAGGTGGTGCAGTGAATTCACCCAACTGCACATTTACCATGACTGACAATGATTCCGCACAGCCTAAATGGATCCTAGTCGCCACATGTTCCCGCATACAGTTATTTGCATGTATCCGTAGATAACCGCAGATATTAGGGGATATGCTATAGCATTCCCCCCATCATCAACTGGAAATGAGGCGTTTGGCTATACCTCCAACATTCTAGATTTGAAACTTTCGTGACTGCAAGGATTCATATTCTTAGGTTTTTTCGGTAAAGTCACGTATGTAAAAAATTAAAATTTAAATTAATAAAAGTAAAATAAAAATAAAAATCACGACGTTTCGGAGGCAACACAAGCTTCCGTCTTGATACAGCTATCGTGCTGTGACGGTTCCACCTGAAGAATTTTTTACCTACGTGACTTTACCGAAAAAACCTAAGAATATGACCTCCAACATTGTTTTCAACTGCGCAGCAATATGAATGACATACATGTTTATTAAATATGCAACCACGTGTGGATTCAACAATTAAAATAAGTTAAAATGCTCAACGCGTACAGGATATGATTGTGAAAAATTAGGGATTAGAGACTGAACAAAACGACAAAGGAGACCAAAGAGAAACCGCACAATGTCTAACATTTTCACAACAAATGTTGATTCGGAATAACTGAGGTCGAATCATTCGAGTTCTAATATTAAGCATCACTAATTATATGCAACCCACTGCGTTACTACCATCAGTTAAGACAACCTAGCAGCCTGCAGAAAGTTGGCACTAAAGTGTTATAGTTTACGTAAAGATTTACACGTGAATAGTGTTAAAAGCCCCCACCAATTGAGTATTTGAACCTTTAAGCAAATTCCCGCCGTGCAAAGTTATGAGATAATGAAGTGCCGGGCGCAACTACCGGACGACGAATCGTTGCGCGCGCGCGCACACGAGCGGGCAGATGAGAGAGTGGCTTTAAATTCGTTTCACCGCCTGTTTTGTCTGCTGGTCGCTGCAGACAACTCGCATTTTACGGGCGGACGCTGCGCAGTGGCGAAGGCCGAGCCCTGCCTTTGTCGACGTCCCTCCGAGAAAAGAAAAAAAACCTCACCCCCGAAACGGTGTGATGACACATGCACAAGGCGAATGACAGGTGATATGTTCTACTACCAGAGCTCAACGTGTAAACAAAGATCTAATGGAGCACCCTTTTTTTGTGTCGTGGGATTTTTTTTTTTTAAGCGCCAGAGATTCTCAACACGCACTGCCAAGTTACACATGTAGCTTGTCTAAATAAGAGTTGGTCAAAATGTTTCGCGAATGGAATGTTAGACGTGCACGTTGACTTGGTTTTCATGACTTCTCCTCATGATTACTTTTAACGCTTAGAACAAATTATTTTATTTGTGTGAAAAAAAAAATATTCACGGGACTTTTTGTCAAAAAAACTGCTGGATGAAGGTCTCCTCACCTCATGACGGACGTCAGGCTTATTTGACCATATTCTTAGGTTTTTTCGGTAAAGTCATGTAGGTAAAACATTAAAATTAATAAAAGTAAAATAAAATAAAAATCACGACGTTTCAGAGGCAACACAAGCTTCCGTCTTCAGGTGGAACCGTCACAGCCACGACAGCTGTATCAAGTAAATGAGAGATTGCAAGAGCTACCAGCTGTGACTGTTCCACCTGAAGATGGAAGCTTGTGTTGCCTCCGAAACGTCGTGATTTTTATTTTATTTTACTTATATTAATTTTAATGTTTTACCTACGTGACTTTACCGAAAAAACCTAAGAATATGAATCCTTGCAGTCACGAAAGCTTCAAATCTAGAATTATTTGACCATACTTCACCACACAGGTCAGTGTGGGTTGGTGAAGGGGCCCAGCAACGGCTCCCACCATCACTCACCGCTTACGTTAACCGTGGGCGGGAAGTGAACCCAGGTCGCCGGGTTGAGAGCGCAATGCGCTAAAAAAGCTGCGCTACCAACCCCCCCCCTTGTTTTAGAAGAGTTCATTGTATAAACATTGGTCTATGTGGTAGAAAGTCGAGCAATATGAATTTCTGTGCTGTACTTCTATGGTCCCAGATCTATACTCTCTATGGTCATCAAACAGCACTGACCAGTGTGGTGAAGTATGGCCAAATAACTCCACGACCTACATGGTGTGGGGAGGCCGTTATCCAGCAGTGGATCGAGAAAGGGCTGTACACGTGCAATATATATATGGGGCTTCAAAACAAGTCTAAAACAGGGTTGATAAAAATTGCGTTTCGTGTCAATCTCAATATAATTTATTTTACTTTCATTAATTTTTATTTTATTTTTTACCTACGTGACTTTACCAAAAAAACCTAAGAGTATGAATCCTTGCAGTCACGAAAGCTTCAAATCTAGAATCTCAATATAGTTTGGCTTCTCCTTGTGCATGCGTGTGTATATAGAAGTATTTTATTTTCACACCTCTGACAAATTCTCACCTACCTAAACCCAGTTTATAGATGGTCAACACTTGTATTGCTCCGGTGTACTATTGTTAATCTCGGGGCAGAATTCAAGAGGCTCTTGTTTTCCCACCGACTCATCGTTGGGCAGAAACACACGACGAGGCGGAATGATGGCTGGCGGTCAAGACTAACGGTGGAGTGGCAGCCAAGGGAGGAGACAGGCCTGAGAGGAAGTCCCCCGCAGATACGTGCAGGTGCTATGTTAATTGGAACATTGCAGTCGCAGAACCATGAGTAATGGTGACGGGCTTGGGGAGGGAGCCTTCCTACAGCAGTGAATTGATTCATCATTATTGGAATAAAAACCGTCTTTTGAATATAACTGCGGCCAATTTGCATCTTACTCTCGCACAGATACCGGAGCGGGAGTGTCGTGGTGACCGGGCGCCGCCCCCCTTCCCCCCCTCCACCCACACGACGCTCCCGAGTTCTCGCAGGTTTCCCCCGTCACAGCGGCCGTGAGCGATGGTCGTAAAGCGCCCATAAGCTGCGGGGCAGGCGGGGTCAGGCCGTGACAGACGAATGACTGGACATCGATCACCCGTGGCCGCCACCAGGCGGGTCACACAGGCCCCGCGGGTGAAAACTCCTTTCACCGACAGCAGGCGCGCTCCAAACGTACCACCGGGCTCCCGTTTTCACTTTGACCCCTTTTTCGTTTTTTTTTTCTTTTCTGCGTATGTATGTGTGTGTTACTGCTACCCTTCCTCCAATCACCACCCCCAATTTATTTAGCTTTTCCACACCACGTGCCCCCACCTATGGCGACGACCCGCGCACGCAGGCGGCCTGACCCTGGGATTTGTTACAGCTTCACTGTCTGTCGTCTCTCAGGTGTGGCAGAGCAGTAAGGCACTGTGTACAGATTTGTGGGTCATTCCTGAGTCTCTGGGTTGAGTCAATAGACCGTGACCAGTATGTATGCTTTGCACTCTCCGTAAAACCAAACTCTATACTGTGTGAGAGAGTGCCTGTGTAAAGATATGGTCATCATTCCCGTTAAGGCAAAAAAATTGCCCTGCGGCAGTATGGCAACAACTACATACCAAGCTTCACGTCTTCTTTGCTGCTCGTCTCATAATAATAAAGAGCTTTATTTTAGAATATTTATACCGTACGTAAACAGTTCCACTGGTTAATACAATCAAATTTTTACGTGAACGTCCTTTATACCCTCACGAGATGGACATCATCATCAGCCATGATCAATCTACTGCTGAATGATGGTCACCCCCACGCTATCACAATCCCACATACTTCCATGATGCCATACTCAATCGCGCTCTTGCACATGAGCAGATATCGTCCCTCCATCTGGACGGCGGTCATCCTCTTGGGCATGTTTCTCCTATCAGTCTCGACCACTGACCATCAACCCTTCTCGCGATGTGACCTGCCCAAGCCGGCTTACATTTCTAAACTGTCAATATGACGTCTCTTACTTGTGTTGGTTCGCATGGGTTCCTCCGTCTCCCTCAGTGAAAACTCCAAGCACGCACCTCTCCACGGTTCTTTGCGTACTTTTCAGATTTTTGTAAAATCTCCGTGAACATCAATGTTTCTTATTTACGTCTAGGTGGGTAATATGCACCGATTTAAAACTTTCTTCTTCAGGCACATATTGACATTGCTTGTTATCAAATTTTATTTTCTAAAAGGAATCCATCCCGATCTCTTTAACCTCTTCTTACGTCATCATTTTGATCACAATTCATCTTCATCAATTGCCCCAGCGATACACGGTCCGCACTGTTTTCAAACTGTGTTCCTCCAACAATTATTTTCACTTGATCAGCAAACGTGTTTTTTGTTTTGCTCATGTTGATCTTGAACAAAACTTTATAGTTCTCTTTAAGTTATTCAAAATTTCTCTACTTCATTTCAAACGGTTGCTATTACATTAACTCGGTCATCCGCAAATCAGAGGATTAATAATTGTTACATTCCTGTATACGGCTTTATTTCTTGCATACAATTTTCAGAAAGCATCTTCTAAAGTCGATGTGAATGTCTTCGGTTAGAGTATCTCATATATCCGACTCCTCTACTAATTTGTAGAAATTGCTGTTTCACTAATATTGATCCCAGTGTTTTTACTGTGTTTTGATTATAACACAAATACTTCCAAAGATCATTCTGGGCTCACGCGA